CGCCTGGCTGAGCAAGTCGCGTGGTCGCGTGCCGGCGTGCTTTCCCGACAGACGGACGACAGAGATGCCGCCACCATCTTCGTTGTCGGCGGGCCGCATCGCCGCCACGCCGCTGGCAGCGTGCAGGCTGCAGCTAGCTTTGCCTGCGCGCCGACAACGTAGGAAGGGAACAAAAAACTATCTCAACCGGAGATTCGAACCCACGGAAATTCAGTGCATATCTCCAGTCCGACGGCGGCTTTGCACAGGCATTCCTAGGGGATAACTCACAAGGGAATGCTTTTGCAGATATCCCGTAAAGTTTGCGACACTTTAACCTCTGCACTTGTTGTTCCTTTCCGACAGTGTGTTACGATGCCTTGATCACACAACTCAACTTTTCCGCAATGCAAATCGGTGACGGCACTGTGATAATGCCTCCGTCCACGATGCGCGCCTCGCCGCGTCTCCTCACGGTGTCCTTTCTTTCTTTCCTTGGCCCGCCTCCGAGTCGGCCTGTCGACCGAATCTCAGTCTCTGTCTCTCGTTCGGGGCGCCCCGTACGAGTGCGAGAGAGCGAGCACCGCCCGGAATCCGCCTGCAGTCGGCGAGCGAGGCGGCCTAGACAGCGGCGCCGTTTGTCCACACACAACGACGCCATTCAGGCGAGGCGTCGCGACGCCGTGCTTTGCTGTGCGACGCCTCGGCAACGCCGGTCACGGCACCAGAAAACACATGTATTAGGAACGGGGTGTGTACTGGTCGCACTGCCAGCCCCGGGCCGGCCGCGCCATTTCTCTACACGTTGAAAAAGGCTTAAGTTACTTCTACTTTCATTTTTTGCACAAAAAGAACCAAAGTAAACGTCTACGCGAACGAACAAATTCAGTTATTTCTTTATGAATATCTATTTTTGGTTGTTCAATTTTCGTTATCTACTCCGTAGTTATTTTTTTTTTAAGTTTGATAACCCGTGGGCTAATGAATGAATGGGCGCTGACTGTCTAATTTGAAAGAAGCGCGCTATCCTCGTGCCGGTCGCGTGGCCGCGGCCCGTGGCCTGGCGTGCTGCGATAGACTGCGCCAGGCTGCCCCGCCGGGTCCCGCCCACTCCGGGCCTCTCGCCCACGCCTCGCCAACATTCATTAAGAACGCCAAACTCACGATGGCCCGATGGGAGCGTCTGGCAGCGTCTGCCTGCAGAACCACACTGCACGCACAGGGCCCTTAGTAGGCACACTGGGCGCGCTACGGAGTGCCGAGTGGCGTGGTTCGGATCGCGTCGCCGACGGTCGCCGACTTACTTGACTCGCGTCGTACGCACCAATCATCTCGTGTGAAATTGCCCCCCACCTCCGGGGCTTACACCGCCGAAGTCATTGCAGAGTCGCCGTTCCCGTCGCCCGGAGCAGGAAGAGTTTCAGTGTTACTGTGTCAGGGCGGGCAAGGCCGGCTATCGCTTCGTCGTGCCTGCTTTTAAATACCGCCCTGCTTTGTTTTAAATAAATCGCAGCGACTAGACTCCGTCAGTTCATTGACTAAATCGTTTTGACTTTACTTTTCAAAGAAATCAACCAAAGAAGCAGATTTGACCTTACTTTTTTCCCAGTGTGAACAACACCGAAAGAAATGCCCGGGCGTTGACCGCACCATAAAAGGCGTACAAAGACAGTACCTTTCGATTGGAAACATTAACCGCAGGCCGTAGGTGTAAAACGGGCTGCACACTACACCTAGGCGAGTGTCTTGCCCATGGAGAAAGTTGGAAACGGAATGACACTGGAGGCATGGTCCAGCCAAACGGGTGAGGCCGAGGCCCGCCGGCCTGCAGGCCCGCCGCGCTGCTGGGGGGAACCATTGGAGCACGTGGACGGGGACGGGTCACACACGAACACACCTTCAGACACACTCACACAGGCGCGCGAGCATGCCCACAACCACGCCAACTTGAAGGCTGTGACGCTCCTTACACTTTCACAGGAGGGCACAAAACTTTAGAGAAGCCAATTCTTGAATTTATTGCTGCAAATATCCCAGTGTAGTTGCAATATTTTACAGGAACAGTCACTTAAATTTTGCAGCAAAAAAATAGCAAAATTGAAGTGAAGGATAAGATCTGCATCTAAAGTCTTTCAGCCATTGAATCAAAACCAATCGCAATGATTAACGCCAAGCGAAACATGGGCCGCGGTTGCCACAACTAGAAAGAGAGAACAGTGCGGTCCTTCAAACCCCGAGGCCTCCCGTGGAGTAACGAATCGTTTCTTATCATCGCACTTCCTCATTTAACAACTTGGCGATACGACGCCGGAACCTCTGATTACTGACTGCTGGCACTGCAATAGGAACGACTTAGTTCCCGTCTCGCCTTTTTCGCGGCGGGCCGCTGCCTGCCACTGCCTGCCGCCTGCCGCGCCAGCCATCCTCAGATTGGCATCTGCACCGTTTTCTCCGATCCCGGGCGAGAGACGCGTCGTGAAACGAAAGTTGAAGTGACCAAGTAACGAAGTAACCCAGAAGTCAACCGTTTTGCACCGGCCACCTGGTGCACTGTTAATTTTCCCTGAGCGCGCTGGACAAATCGCATTTCACCGCCTGTTTCCGCGCGGCCGCGGGAAGGCCTCGCCGGTCCGGCAGCAGCAGCGCGCCGAGAAAAGGGCGAAGGTGGCAGCCAGTCGCCGCCGGGACAAAACACCGCCATTACCGCGCACGCGCGAGGAGGCCGTGCAGGCCGTGGTCGCTACATTAGGGTGATGCGCGCTCCCTCACGCAGGGGACGCGCGTGCCACTTCGAACGCCGGCACGGCCAGCACGGACGGCCGCGAACTCGGTCAAACGGAGGACGCACGCGCGAGCCGGACTGATGAAAACAGTGCAGCGCGTTTCGAGGCGTTTCGGCGGCCCGCGATCACGGGGCCGGCGCCTTATCACGAGCATCACCACGCACGGCGCGCGGGATCGTTTGGGAGGCCCAAGAGGCCCGAAACACATAGAGGACCAGTCACGGGCGTGAGCAGCGGGCAGCGCGCGATGGACGCGGTAATAGGGGCGGCAGAACGAGCACAAGATGTAGACCAGCCGCGCCAGCCAGCTAGCGTTAGCCAGCCTCAGCTAAGGAAGAAGTAGATCGTCGGGCAGCCATCAGGACGTCAGTCAGAAGAGGAGCGTCAAGTCACTGTTGTCACAGCAGCAGTCAAGTCACAGTCACAGTGGTCACGTTGTCACAGGTGTATCCGTCGGGTGGCACAAAACACACAGAGCACTGCTTTTAATCATCGCCGCACTCGCGTCTGTCGCGTCGGCGAGCGTCGCGTCGCTCGCAGTATTGTGTTCGGACACAGGGGCGAGGCAAGGCCGGGGCACAGCCAAGGCAGAGCCGAAGCACAACCAAGGCAGAGCCTAGAGGCGCCATGGCCGCCATGGCCGCCATGCCCGCGCTGCACAACGTGTTGGCGCGCACCGGCCGGCCGGCGGCCCACGGCCAGGCCCACGGCCCGGGCCCCTAGGGAGGGCACCAGGCTGCCGGCGGGGTGGGGCGGGGCCGTGGTGGGAGGCCGAGCCACACGGGGGACGCTCGCCCCCGCAAGGGTCCCCGCCACAAGGGTCCCCGCCGCAAGGGTCCCCGCCGCAAGGGCCGTGATGAGGCGGGGCTTGGCCGGGCATCGCGCCGAGGTGGAATCTGGACGCGACCCTGCGTGTCACGGTGTGGCGTGGCGCGGCGCGGCGTGGCCAGCCGGCCGAGACGGGACACGGCGACCCCCGCGGGGCACTGGAGGGGACGGGCTCATCTCCTGACAGATGAGGATGTGGACGAGCAGGTTAAGCCAGACTGCCCCGCTACGCCCCGCCGCGCCCCACCGCGCCCCACCGCACCCCGCCGCGCCCCACCCTGAATGAAAGAAAACGGCACCGTGTCTGCGGAAAGGGCGGGCCGCATAATTGGCCAACAGTCAAATTGGACTTTCTTTAAATTATTATATTTTTTCCGTGTCCTTTGCGAGTCGCCTTGCGAGTGGTGCAGTGCGCCGGGTGGCTGGGTGCGCGCCCCCCGCGATGCGTGCGGTGCGTTGGCAGTCCCGATTCATCCCACCAGCCTTTCCCTTACCATGAGTCACATACGCAGTGCCGCACAGTGCGGCGCAGTGCCACGCGGTGCGCACTGCCTGTCGGTTCGTGAGCTTTTGACAGCAACACGTGACGGAACAAAACGCGCGCTGAGAGAAAGCGCGACACACTAACATATGTGAAGATGTGTAACTCATACGCGGCTGCCGATGGTGCGTTTGCGTTCGCGGCCGCGCCGCCGGTCAGCGCGTTGTGACGTCGGGGCGCGGCGGGGCGGCGGGACGCGGCGACGCGGAGCCGTGAATTGGCCCTTTTCCCGGCGGGTGATGCAAGCAGGCCTGCTCCCGCACGCCTTCGTTTTCTACTCCGCTTTGCTTGGCCGCCGGGAACGACAAGTGCCCCGAATGCCTTCCTCTCGCGGTCCGAGTCACTTTCGTCCGGCATAACGCGCACGCGAGGACGGCGTAGACAGCAGACCCATTTCCTCGAAGGAAACACTCCTACATCCTTAGTGCGCAACCAGTGCGGCCGTGGGGTGCGCGCCGGTTCACGGCGATGTGTGAGCTTCTCACCGGGCGGACGTGCGTGCGTGTGTGTGCGTGTACGTGTGACACTGGAAGAGAGCAGCCCGAAGAGGAGAAAGGGGTGGGAGGTCGAGCACGGCGATGAAGCCGGCCAGGAGGGAGAGGAACAGGAGGAAGAAGAAGAGGAGGAGAACAGGTAGGGAGGAGGCCAGTGCCGGCGGGCAGCGCAGAGCAGGCCCCTCCCGCCCCCCGCACCGCCCGCCCTGCCCCCTGCCCGGCCTGTGCCCTGCCCGGCTCCTGCCCGGCTCCTGCCCGGCTCCTGCCCCACACCGGCCGGCCGGCCCCACCCCTCCTCCCTCGGCCTCCCTCGGCCCGGCGCTGGGAATACGATAAAAGACACGGACGCCACTTCGGTAATCACAGTCACTCGTTGGCCCAACCGAGCACACACACCGCCCGGTCCCCGGTCCGTCCGTCAGACAGGCCAAGTCGAAAAGATGGTGAGCAAGTCGCTCTTACTGCTGGCGGCCGTCGTGGCCGTGGCGTGGGCTGCCCCCGCCGAGGAGCCCAACCCCGCCAAGCCCCAGGACAACGGCTCCCTCATCGAGGACGGCGTCGAGAAGGTGTACCGCTTCCTCCAGGAGTGCGGGGACAAGGACATGTTCTTGTGCATGAAGATGCGCGCCCTCACCTACGTCGACCGCGCGGTAAGTCAGTGACGAGCAAGACTTGTGTGCGATCGAGTGAAAAGTGCAAGAGTGAATAGTGAAACCTGGATTACCGCCCTTCGCCGCCCTTCGCCGCCAATGTGGATTTTACTTCAACGACAAAGTGTGCCACCAAGTGCGTGTGCCGAGTGCAGAGCGCCGTCCGCTCCAACGGCCAAGTCCTGCCCTCCGCAGGCTGATTCGGTGTCTCTCCCGCGCCGCGAGGAGACGGTCCGACGAAAGCGCTGTTCGGAATCCGCCTGCAGCCGCGAAGCCGTGGAGCCGCGCTGCCCCCCGCGGCTCGAGATGAGTGCCGATCGGATCCCCGTGGCGCGCACTTAGCCCCGCGGCGCCCGTTTAGGCCGCCTCGCCTTTTTTGCCGTCGGCTCCGGGCTGCCGCTGCCTGCCTGCCTTGCCTGCCTGCCTTCCTTCCTGCCTCACTGCTTGCCTGCCTGCTTGCCTGCCTTTCTGCCTGGCATGACCTCCTGCAGAGTAGCGCCCCACCCGCACAAATCCGGCACCTGCCGCGCTCTTCCGGGCCGCCTCGGAGATGATCCGGTTCGACAAGGCGGTGCTGCGCGCGCTGGCCCTCCGCGATGGCCCCCGCGATGGCCCAGTCCCGTTAGGCCGGCCGATTCGGGTTGACTCGGGGCGCCTAGGGAAGGGAGACAATGCTTCTGGACCCTCTCTAGCCAACCTCTTGCCCCGCAGCGCGCAGCGGCGACCCTCGGTGACGCAAAGGTTATGTTGACGCGCGTGCCACAGCCAAGCCACCTCGTCGTGACGGGTCGTTTCTTCGATCTGTCTCGCTCGCATCCCTTCGGGACGATTCACAAGCGAAAGAGAGAGACTGATCGACGGAACGAGCCTTCGGGACCGCGGTGGCCACGCACGCTCACTCCGAGATCGAAAGCGCGGGCGCAGAGCGGAACGGTCCGGCCGCGTAAACTCACGTTTGCAGGGAAGGGTGCGCCACGCGCGCGGTGCGTCAACACACCCGAATGAATGGCGAGGCGGAACCGGCGACGTCACGCGGGCCGAGGCGCCACGTGGTCTGAGGAGCCACGTGGCCTGGGCGCCGCGTGGTCTGAGACACCACGTGGCCTGAGGCGCCACGTGGTCTGAGGCGCCACGCCGCGTTAGCGCCGCGTCGTGCTCCTCAACGCGATGATTGCCTGTTTGCGGAACACGACACTGACCCAACCTCCTTCCTGTTTGCAGGTCCGCAAGTCCGGCGACATCTCCCTGGCTGACGGCGTCGCCCTGGTCCAGTCCAGCGAGGGTGCCCGCGAGCTGTCTGGCCGCGCCCTGAGCGAGGACGAGCTCGACAACTCTCTGCCCCAGGACGCCGCCGAGCGCGACTCCCAGGTCGAGACCCTCCTCGTCGACCGCGTCGCCCGATTCCTCGAGTCCCGCACCCTGCAGCTGAAGGTCCCCGACAGCGCCATCTCCGACATCCGCCGCTCCCTCGATGAGTGTAAGTATCCACCGCATCTTCCTTTATCTTGATACCGACGTGGAGGTCGTCCCGGAGGCCGTCTCCAAAGTCAACCTGGCGGCCGTCGTCGCGGTCGTTTCGGAGGCCGCCCTGGGGTCACCGTCGTGGCCGCCAGGAGGGTCGTCCCGGACGCCGTGGCGGACGTCGGCGCGGTCCATGGTTCCCACGGCGTTGCGTCACGTCCATCCGGATGGCCGAGTAAAAGCCGCGCCCGGTGTCCGGAGAGATGCTGTGGCATTGATACACCGCGGGGCGGGGCGGGGCGGGCAGGCGTGGAGAAAGTAGTGAGGCACATTTTTTTCTCCCCGCCCGCCTCGCCGTCCCCGCGGCGTCGCGTCCGGCCCACGCGCCGGCACGTGCTGTGCACGTGTGCGTGTGAGCGCGCGCGTGTGTGCGTGTGCGTGTGCCTTACCACAAAGCCGCGCGCGTCGCCGGCGATAATTAGCTCGATCGCGACGCGCCGCGCCGCGCCACGCCACGCCCGGTTCGGTTTACTTTCTAGCGCGTGCTTTCTTCCACGCGTGCGCGGCTGCGCGGCGCCACACGCGCGTGACCCTGTCACTCCGCAGTCGCTTGTTTATACATTTGAAGAAGGAGAGGGTTTCTTTGTAGGCGGCCTGGTGGCGGCCTGCTGGCGGCCACGGCCAAGGCAGCGATAGCCAGTGGAGGTGCTTTCTCGCGTCCGGCGTCTCGCGGCGCGGATTATGGCGCACGATCTGTTTATTCTACTTTCCTATGCACCGCGGCGCGCCCCGCCCCGCCCCGCCCCGCCCCGCGGGACTCATTACGGCCGTCCGGCTACCGTCTGCTGGCTGCGGCTCCACGGCGACGTCCGGAGTGGGTCGTGCGGTTTAGTGGAGAAATTGGGGAGCCCCGCAACGAGGGGCAGCCGGTCGGCCGGCCGGCCTGGCAGGCTGTGGGTTTAGCCGGCCAGCCGGATCCGCGCGGCTCATCTCAGAGGCCGCGGTGTTGGCAGTGCTGGCGGCGCTCGGTGCGGTCCGCTGGCCAAGTCGGTCGCCGCGTGTGTGCGCGCACACTGTGCACACTGTGCTGCACATGCATGGCGCGGCAACGCATCAGCTAATCGGACTCCTTTTCGGCGGCGGTCCGCGGGCTAGCTGTACCTTGCGGCGGCGTCTGCCCAGCCCCGCCACACCCGCCGAGGCGTCGCGTCGTCGCTCTGCCGCTGTCTCGAGACTCTCGCACCCCTACGGGACGCCCCAACAGACGGAGACAGAGCGGCGAGGCGGCTCCTAAGGCTGCTGGTGTGCATGGTGATGACCTACAACTGCAGCCCGGCGGGCCTGGCGGCTCTGGCGGCTCTGGCGGCATTCCAGCCCGCAGGCATACGGCACTTTTAGCGGCCGCGGCGCGTCGGCGCGTCGGCTCGGCTCCACGTCGGCAGGACTGGCTGGGCGGCTTATCGGCTCGCCTTTCTCCCTAACGCGATTGGCCGTGCCGACGTCCTGGCCGGCAGCCTGGCCGCCAGCCTGGCAGAGGTCCCAGTGACCCAGTGTGGCCAGTGGGTCATGTGTCGCCGGGCCCCGCCGCGCCTCGAGCCTCGCGCCTCGCACGCAGGCGCACACTCGGAGACTTGAACGCGGGGCGGCACCGGAGCGCGCCAAATGAGAGCTCGGCTCGGCAGCTCGGTTTCTCCACGCCGCTCGCCACGCCATTTTTATTCAGAATAGTTGCCGCCGCGGCCCGCAAGTAGTCCAAGTAGTCCGAGAAGAGCGGGGAAATCGGGCAAAATCGGCCCGGTTCTGATGGAGATGAGATGACTGGTTGCCGACCTTGGCGTGTGCCGTTAATTCACGGCCAAGTAGGGCGTACCGCCCCGCCCGCCCCGCCCCGCCCCGCCGAGACACTCGTCGATGATAGACCACACGGCTGCTGCTGCACCGTTGCCGATATTGGCTGGCAACTCTGGGCTCTAAATCAAAACGACGCTAACGTGTCTGCTTTCTCTCCCCACAGCCCGTGGCAAGAAGAAGAAGCTGAAGATGCTCCTGCCCCTCCTGCTGCTGCTCAAGCTGAAGGCCGCCGCCCTCATCCCCCTGGCTCTCGGCGCCCTGGCCCTCCTTGCCTTCAAGGCCCTCATCGTCGGCAAGCTCGCCCTCGTCCTCTCCGGCATCATCGCCCTCAAGAAGCTGCTGTCCCAGCAGAAGCACACCCAGAGCTACGAGGTGGTGGCCCACCCACACTACAGCCACAGCCACAGCGGCGGTGACGAGCACGGCGGCCACTACGCCCGCTCCCTCAAGGCCGAGCAGCCCGCCCAGGACCTCGCCTACAGTGCATACAAGCAGGAGTAAGGTGCGCCTCCCTCCTGGCGCTGACGGCGTCCTCCACGCCGCCCGCGCCGTCCTCGCCTCTCTTCTCCGTGAGCATTGTACCATACACCGCGTCCGGCCGGCGCGGCCCCACCCCCTCACTCCCCCGCAGAGGGCCGCGGCGGCGGCGCCTTCCCCCACCAACGCTCACCAGCTAATTTATTGAACCCTCATCGTGTACGTCGCGGACGTGCCGGGGCGGGCCGGTTCGGCCGCCTCGGTGCGGCCTCCCCCTAGGTCCCCTTCCCCCCTCCCCCAAAGAGACGAGTCTGTGTGTGTGCTGTACATTTTGTTTTTAGAATGACCGTCCGTTCCCGACCGCTGGAAGCAAGGACTGATTATTTGACACAAGAAAAGAGGGGCCGTGTTTTGAGATCTCTTAGTGAGTCGGCCCGTGGCGGGCCTTTAGTCGCCTTTAGTGCGGTGTAGTGGTGTAGTTTCCTCCTTTCCGCTTGCTTTGCGACGCGTCCCCGCGCCGCGTCCCGGCCTCCTCGCTTGCCCCTTCGCGTGCTGCCATTCCCGTAATAAGACGATGAGACTGAACTGACCTCTTTTACGGATGCTACTATTTTCCCCTCTTGTATATAGACGTATACGACTCACGTGACGCCACGCATCTGCGCCTGTCTGTCTCTTTCTTTCTCTCTCTTCCCCACTGACGACGACTCGACACCGTGAAAGACGTTCTACAACTTGCATGATGTCGGTACTGCAACTCCATTGGCGACTCGTTTTTTACGACGTGCCGCGTCTCGTCTCTGGGAATGGAGGATATAGCTTTAAAAAAAAAATAACTTTCTCAGGGCTCCATTTCCCATGAGAGGCGACCGGTGCAGGACTCAACAACTTGAGACCCAGGACCAAAGAGACTGTCTAGCTGCCCCCCTCCCCCTTTCCAAGCTCCCTTCCCTGCTGGGCTAACCGCCTAGTCACACCAGAGCCTCGCCGTCCCGTAGGCCGTCGGGGTTTTGGGGTAAATGCCCCAGCCAGCTTCCTTTTTATTTCCCGTCAGACTTGACTCTCTCCCTCTCTCTCTTTCTCTCGCTGATGACTCAGTTTGTGTGTCAATCCCTTCTCTCTCTCGCGCTCGCTCCGAAACAGGTTTCCTTTCTCTTTCGCTCCTCTCCCGTGCCACGAGGAGAGGAGATGGAAAGAAAATATAAAAAGTAATTAATGGTGCCTGTATCGACAGCGGCCGGCCCGCTGACCCAGTAGCAGCATTCTCGCTGCTGCATCCTGCTTGCAGGGCGTGCCCAGGGCGTGCCCAGGCAGTGCCCGGGCAGTGCCCGGGTAGTGCCCGGGGAGTGCCTCACGGCCGCACCTTGAACCTTCGACGCCCACCCGCATCCTAGACTAGTTTGGTCGTCGCCTGGGAGTGGTCCTTATTCGAGAAAGATGGAAAAAACTGGTCTCTCTTGTCCTCGTAGAAAGTAATATGTGCTTCCAGCAGGTCATTGTGTTACTGGACGGACTCTCCTTGTCGTGAGAGGTGCCATGCACTTTAATTTAAAAATGAAAATGTGAAACTAAATTATTTCCAAACAATTCTTTGTAAATAATTTATAATAATATATTGAGTCTCCTTAATTTATGAAAGAACCTGACTAAGTTATTGTTGTTTTTGTTTTGTATTTATCGGACGCGACCAACCTCGCGATCTGGTCTCCAATAAAAAACGAATGTTGTGAAAATTGCTTTTCTGTCTCTCCGATCCTGCAGCTCCCTAACCCAGACAACATGAATTAATCATCGTTTTCTTGAACAGAGAGACACAAACACCAAAATTAACGAAGGAATGCTGCCCGCACTTGACTGCTTGAAAAAGAAAGAGACCGAAAAAGCACAAGTCATACACTTGCTTGTTTTCCACCTGGCCCGCCGGGTCCAATGAACCAGCACGCGTGACGTCACGCTGCTGTTGCGCGCTTCGCTCGCGCTTTCGAGCGGCCAACCCGCCAACACATTCTGCGCAGAGAAAGTTATCATGTCGGCCGTGAATCAGGCGGACCGGGCCGGGCCGGGCCGAGCCGGGCCTCACTCATTACCAGTGACGCAGCTCATGAATGGAATGCCGCGTAGAAAGTCGGACTGCGCTGCTGCCGACTATTTGAGCCGCCCGTCCCGTCCGTGCCGGCCTGTCCGGCCGGCCAAAAGGGAAACCTCAATTGTCCTTGTCACATTTCGCGGTGTGACGGCGTGTCTGTCGCACGACGGCCACGTGACAAAACGGATGCCGATTTCGAGAGGCGAAAAGAAAGCCAGACCGGCTGCGCGTGCGGCGCGCGTGCCCCAGTGGCTGCCTCGCATCCGGGAAGATGACTCCGCGCCGCCAAAGCGAAGCCAGAGCGAAGCCAAAGCGATTCGAAAACGGGAAAAGGGAGCGCTGCCGAGAGACAAGGTGCAGTCACACAGCACAGCCGTGGACAAGCGGCGCCAAAGACAGATACTCAATTTACTGGGTGATCAGAAAGTATTGACTTCCTCACTCACGACTCACTCACTCACTCACTCACTCACTCACTCACTCACTCACTCACTCACTCACTCACTCACTCACTCACTCACTCACTCACTCACTCACTCACTCACTCACTCACTCACTCACTCAACTCACTCACTGGCCTCAGCAGCTTTCACTGAGAAATGGTTATGATATTTTGGCTGATCCTTGTCGAATGCCTGCCTGTGAACGGGGTCAATATCATGAGGCCCCATCAGTGCCGCGCTGCGCCGCGCTGCGCGGCCGCGCTGTGATATGTCGGAAACGGGTTTCGGTGCGCTCGGGGAGGCTCGGGGAGGCTCGGGGAGGCTCGGAGAGGCTCGGAGAGGCTCGGAGAGGCACACTCAAGTGTGCGTGCGCGTCTGTGTCTGTGGGAACGCGCGCATCCAGAGGCCCCCGACGCCCCGACAACCAACAAAGAAGAATACGACCTGATACGGGCACTATAGGTCTTTAGAACTGAACGGAAACTGATGATGATTGTTCCGTAGAAGGAAGAAAAATAAAAAGACTCAATTGTATGAAAGAGCACACGGATGCAGGCGGAACAAAGAAGAGCATCAAAACGGGAGCCGGAAATGGGCACATTCTATCAAAGTATGAACTGTGGATAGTTTGTCCCTGAACGAATTTTTCTTATGCAAAGTGTCATTTCTGGCTTCTGTTTTTGTTCGTCATCTTTCAGCAAAAGTCACCTTAGAAAAAAAACCCAAATGCTCATAAATTTTCTTCAAAAGTATGAACAAAATCTCTTGGCAAACAACGGAGCGATTTCGACTTGTCTTCTTACTTCTTGGAAGCTGCCTCCGCTGGAGAGGGCAGGAGCAGTGCAGCCTTGAGTGGTCCTTCGAGCCTTCCAGTCCCTCCGGGTGGGTCTCTTCGGTGTCAAAGAAGTTGCCTACCGCGACGGCGCAGCGGAGCCCGTCTCGGGCACTTCCTCGCAAGCAGCCCCGGTGCGTAGGCAACCCGACTGCCTGCCGCTTCACTTCTTGACCTGCTCCAAAAACACTGGTCGGAGCCGCTGTGGAGCGACGGCGTGGGGGCAGGGAAGCAGAGTCCGGCAAACATGTTTCACGTCCTCTATATTTTAACACACTAGAATCGACAATCCAGGCACACACACAGGCACACATAGGGTTAAAATACACCTTTTCAAATATACAAAAACGCACAGACTCTCACTCTCTCACACTTGTTCACATCACAGCAGGCGTCATGGTATCAGAGCTCCCAGCAGGTGGGCAGTTAAATAAATAATAAATAAGGTCGGTGGCGGTGTCAGTGGTGCGCGGAGCCGCCCCCCGAGGAGCCGCCGCCCGCGCCCATGTTGCGCATCGCCATGAGGGCCGAGATGAGCAGCGCCAGCTTGGACAGCATCAGGGCCTTGCCGGCCAGCATGGCGAGCATGCCGAACTTCATGGGCAGCAGCGAGCCGGCCAGCAGCATGCCCAGCCCCATCATGCCGCCGAAGGGCTGGCGGCGCCGCCGGGCTGCAACACAGGGCGCAACAGGTCAACACGACGTGGGAAGATTTGATTACTCGGCCGGCGTGCGAGATTAATGCACGCACTCACTGCCATCTGACGTTTTCGCCACCGGGATGGATGCAATTATTGGGTTCGCCCGATGGCGCGTATCACTGGCTGACTGCCCAGCATGCGTCATCAAGCAGATTCAGTTTGCAATTTCAGAGTGACCGGGGAAAGAAACCTATCTAGTTATGGATTTGAGTGACTGCATTTGGGGAGCAAAAAGGGTAACAGTGACCCCACCAATGGATTCCTCGTCCGGAGAGCAATCCATTGGCGGGGTCGCACGTTCTGTTCAAGTCCCATTTAGGAGCTCAAATCGCGTTGAGAGTTTTGGTCGCCTCGTCCGGTCTTCTGGCCCACTGTTGGGCGCCGGCGTGCGACTTTCCGGCGTCGTGTTTGATGAGGACTGACTTACCCAGTCGGAGCCTCATGCAGATTTTGCGAGTTTGGCCCTTGTCATCACAAACCGCCTTCCGCTGGACGGACAGCCGCAGGGGGCGGGCCCCCACAAACAAGAACGTCCACTTGCCCGCCCGCGGGGCCCGGCCCCCAATGGGGCCCCCCATCCCCAAAGCCCGGCGGCCTGAGCCTGCATGGCCTGCAATCGGGGCAACCAATGACTGCGAGCCTCCACCACGCGGCAACGTGCACACCGACACCACTACCGCCACTACGGCAACTATACGGTTAGAACGCTTGCTAGAGAGGAATGATTTGTAACGAAGAAATTTGCTTTCGTAGACTTTGTTCATTTTTCGTCGTATTGCACAGCGATTTTTCGTAGGTTTTCAACAGTCTACAGCGTGACTACAAAGCGCGCTACAGGGTGAGCCAGGCGTGCGCTGTGGTGCCCAGTTTGGTCAAAGCCGCGAGGTATGTCCAAACGGTTGAGGAACAGATTGTTTCCATGCACGAGCTCGTATCCTAAGACTGCAAGTGCATTTTTTCGTTTCAAAGTGGCCGTCTACGTGCAAGAGGTGTTCGAAGGTTGGATCTTTGAGAGCTAAGAGGCTGTTTCTGTCCCCGCGTGTTCCCTGACTGACTCACCGTCCTCCCCGGCAGCTCCGACGGCTCCGTTGAGCTCGGCGACGGAGGGCAGCTTTAGCCTGAGGGAGTAGTTCTGCAGGAAGCCGAAGAGCTTCTCCATGATGAGCTTGTCCAGGGAGCGCTCCCGCTCCGGCAGGGATCGCGGCAGCGTCTGCTCCAGGTCGTCCACGGCGGCGCCCTGCTCGGGGGCGTCGCTGTCCCGCTCCAGGGTGACGCCGGCGCCCAGGGCGACCTTGCGGGTGGAGCGCGCCACGCGGTCCATGGCGTGGATCACCTGCACCTTGAGGCACGAGCCCAGGTCGTCGTCGCGGCACTCCAGGTACACGCGCCGGAGCATCCTCATGGCGCCCACCGTCCACGGCACCAGCGACGACGCCTCGTCCGAGGCCGCCGCCACCTCCCCGGACGACGCCGGCGTCGACGGCGAGGGCGTGTCCACCAGGTCGGCGCTGTCGGGGGTATCCAGGTTGTTGTAATCCGAGGTCGGCGCTGTGATGCGCGCGCTCGCGCTGCCCGACACCATCACCACCAACATGAAGATCACTACCGCGGCGCGGGCGCACATCGCAACGAGAGCCATGGTGAGACGCACTGCTAAAACGCGACGGGGACACTGCTGCACTACTGCACTGTGAGCTGGGCGACGACAGACTGTGTCCGGCCAGCCCAACAATGCCCCTTTATAGGGCTATGTACTTCTCACTTTCCGCGGCCCTCCGAAAAACAGCGCCGGCGTCGTCGCCGCCCCCGCGGCCACCGCAGCCCCCACCCGGGGGCCGATGGGCGCGATCGACGGCCGGCCGATGCCCTGACAAGAAGTGCCATATGCTTTCTCTCATTTAGGCAAAGGGGACTTTTTTGTTACGTCCCTACTTCCCCGGATCACTCGCGGGCCTCCCACTAACGCAACGCGGTGCCGCCCCCACCGCCCCCGCGGCCCTGGACGAGCCCTGCGGTGGCCGGCCCGCCCCCCACCGACAGGTGCCGATCAGGAATCTGTCGCGATTCGCGGGGGGCGGGGCAGGGTGGAGGACCTTCGGAGGCCCTTCGGAGGCCCTTCGGCGTGCCTTCGGGGGACCTCCGGAGGCCCTTCGGGGGGAGCCGAGGGCCGCGGCGACGAATCACACATTTCCTCGCCAAAGGATTCTCTACGGACGAAGTGGAGCAGCACGGAAAGAATGCCGGATTTTTCTCTCCCCTTCTTTCCGTCCCGTCCTGTCCTCCGTCCTTCTTGTCCGCCTAGTCCTAGTCTGCGGCGGTGGCGGTGCCGTGGTGGTGGTGGCCATGGCGACGCCGACCGAATCGGACACGATTAAAAGGGGAGGTGTACTTTCTTCCGCGCCTCGCCTTCCGTGCCTTCCGCGCCTCGGCCGCACCGCGAGTGCCACCCCACCCCGCCCCGCCCCGCCGCGCCGCGTCGTCGTAATAGGCCTGCCTTCACGGTGTCCCAGGTCGGAAAATTGGTGTATTGGCCGGCCGGTGACAAAAAGGCGGCGCGCAGCGGCTCGACACGGCCCGGCCGCGGCTCTGCTCGCCGCGGTGCCGCAGTGCTCTGCGCGCCGCCCCGAGCACGTCAAGGCTGCCTTCACCGAGGCATTGCGTGGGCCCGGTGCATCCTGGAGGCATCTCCGCTGTTCTGGACCTCCACCCCGTTGACGGCGTCCTCAGAGTCCCGTGCGAATGCGCGACATGCGGACCGTTGCCGTTGCTCGGATTCGGACTGCCGCGTCCCCCGGGGCGACGCGAGGACACGACGAACGACACGGCGATGTGGCCGCGCCCCGCCTCACGTCGCGCGCCGTCCCGTGCGCCCTCCTTTCCCAAATAACCAATACCGCGGTGGTGGTCCTCCGGCAAAAAACGGGAATATGAAAGGCAAAAACGGGGGAAAAGCCACATCGGCCGTCCGGGCAGCGCGCCGCCGCGCCGCGCCACGCCGTACAAAATGCCATATTCAATTATCCGCGTAGCCGGGGCCGCCGGGGCCGCCGGGGCACAGCGGAGCACTGGCCAGGAATTTTAAAGGCAAAAGAGGGCCACGGCGAAAACGGCAACAAAATAAATGCAAAGTAAATGGAAAGTGCCGGAGGTTTTCGGAAGCGCGCGCCGGACCAATATCGCAAAAGTTTTCATCGGCTGACGAAACGTTTTTTGCCTGCTGTGGGCGGCGCCCTCAGAGCCACGGTGGGGCCACGGCCTGATTACGTGGCGGTCAGCGGGAAGGGTCGGGAGGGCCAGCCGCGTAACCCGCTGGTCACCCCGCGGCCGCCAGTTCGATCACTAATTCGGTTGGGTGGGTGCCACGCCGCCTTGACCGCCGCCACCGCCGGCCCGGTCGCCCGGTCGCCACAAAGGAGGATGATTTAACGCGGCCTTTCTTCGGCCTCCAGGCCCTGCAGGCCCTGCGGGACCCCTCCAGGACCTCGGTCAACGCGGCGCCGCGACTCGCCGGCCGTCCGCGGCGGCGTGACAGTGCACGCGGCTTCCACTATGTTGGGGATAGTTTGGGCAATGCCGGGTGATCCTCTGCACACGTAAGTTTCTGCATTCCACGCAAAAAAAATTGTAGAAGGCAGAAGAATTAGTTTAGTTGACCATCTGCATCTGATCAGCGCCCCGTCACCCACCGCCTTGCCAACAGTTTGGCGGGGGAGCAATCCGGGCAAACATAGTTCCCTCGCGTCAGTGTGCCCTCGACCGCCCCCCCGCGCATCCCACGTCAGCAAGCAGATCGCTCCTCTCCCCGTGGGAGGCGGTGTGAGGAACGTCGCCCGGGACGCACCGCAGCTACCGCAGCGCAGTGCAGCAGGCCCGTGAGTTCACCAATCAAGAGATAACGAGACCGCCACACTGCACTGCCAAACAAGCACACTGTGGGCCAGGAGACCGGCGCAGACGACAAAACGTCTAGACGCGTCGAGCTCCACAGTTGGCATGAAAGAGTAGGGTCTTAAGAACATTTGAGCGTTGAGGAAGGCCTTTGACCGCAGCTAGGATATGACGCAGTCACTCAGCAAAAACGGCCACTTTTCAGAGAATCAATCACATTTTGACCATTTTTGCGAGGCTACTGCTCCAAAACTAGCTGCGGTCAAAGCCTTCCCGAGGCGAGGTATGACAGAGTAAGGTCTTAAGTATACTAGGGCGTTGAGGGAGGACCTTGACCGCAGCTAGATTTGACGCAGTGGCTTTGCAAAGTCAGCAAAAACCGCTGCTTTTGGAGTTAAGTCACTTTTTGGCCATTTTTGCGACTCAACTGCTCCAAAACTAGCTGCGGTCAAAGCCTTCCCGAGGCGAGGTATGACAGAGTAAGGTCTTAAGTATACTAGGGCGTTGAGGGAGGTCCTTGACCGCAGCTAGATTTGACGCAGTGGCTTTGCAAAGTCAGCAAAAACCGCTGCTTTTGGAGTTTAGTCACTTTTTGGCCATTTTTGCGACTCAACTGCTCCAAAACTAGCTGCGGTCAAAGCCTTCCCGAGGCGGGGCATATAAGAGTAAGGTCTAAGGAACACTTAGGCGTTTAGGGAGGCCTCTGGCCGCAGCTAGATTGGACGCAGTGGCCGCCCAAAGTAAGAAATATTTGCTTTTAGACACATCATTGACAGTTTTCTGAGGTCAGCCCTCAAATAATCTCCCAAAATTCTTTACAATCGACAGACTCATAATATCCTATAGTCAATGACATTCATATAATTAAAAGTAATCACATCAATATATTCTCTGTTATTTCAATAATCAGCGTATGAAAATGTTGCGTTGGTTACTCCTTTGGCCGGTCCTTGGCAAAGACACCGCGGCCACGGTTTTTGACATTCCTAAAAATCCGTCGGCTCTCGAGCCGCCTGCTGCCAATTACTCTTATTGAATCAATTTGTCGAATTGCCTAATTGGCCGAGGCTCATTACCCAGGTGTCTCTCAGCGCAAGCTCTGAGCTCCGGGCCGGCTCCAGGCCAGCTCCAGCCCAGCTGGGGCAAGCTTCAGCGACTCCGGGACAAATCGCAGGAAAGCGCCACCCGAACTTGGAGAGGCAAAGCGCTTTGACTTCGCTCAGCGGTGGGTAAAATGGAGGACGACGGCCTGGCCTGGCCCAGGCACGGCAAAGGCCCGGCCCTGGACCTCCCCGAGCCCCCCGTCGGAGAAACAATTTCGCGGCGAGAATCTGGAGAAAATCGGATTTGACGTAAGGCAGATTGTGTTGGAGACTTTAGGACAGTATCGCGAGTGTGCGTTAAGCCGTAGAACAGCAGAATTTTCAAATTGACTTTATAAAGACCTCCGGTGAAACTTTACTGTTATCACTACTTTTCAAGAATGAAAACAACCTTGCGAGATATTTTTTAAATGGTGCTACAGTAATTATTTTTTTGATGTACGAAAGAGTTATTTTCATAGAAAAGTTCATATTGATTTTTCTTTTTCTAAAATCAAAATTCTTCGTAATATATTCGAGTCTATATCATTCCTCCTACCTAAATGTTCGCCTACCTGTCTATTTCGCCTTCCTATTTTTCGCCTACCCAATAAAAATATTGAATAAAAATATTCAATAAAATATTGCCTTTTTTCGCCTACCTATAGTTCGCCTCCCTAACAAAAAAATTAAATAAAAATATTCAACAAAAAAACGAAAAAATCGGCGGCAAAAAGTGGCAATACGAAAGTCTCAAGGAGACCCGCCGATCAGCTTCGGTGTTCTTATGGGAACCGGGCCTTCATCCGACGCTCCCTGCCGCGCAATTCGACAGATTAGTGGGTTCGTATTGGGCTGGCCCACCCGAAGTGCGCGCGGTTTCTGTGGTACAGTGAGAGTCCAGATTCAGAGGCCTTACCTCAGAGGGGTCACATTGGGTATTTGAACCCGCGACCCCGAGTGCCGAGTCTAGTCAACTCCTCTACCCTGACCGCTCAGCCACCGAACCAGCTTGTCGGCGGCGATGTCGCAACTCCTCTTGAGCTACCGTTCGAGAAATCTGGTCCCGAAAAAATTGTACCTTGAGCGGTCTCGAACCCGGGACCTGCCGCTTCCCACTACATGCTCTTAACCACTGAGCCACCGGGACGCCATGGCACCCGGCCTGCCTGCGCTGGTACTCAATCTTCTCTGGATATACCTCGCAAAGCAATTGGTTGCCGAAAAAATTGTATGTACTACCGGTCCCGAACCCGGGACCTGCCGCTTCCCGCAACATGCTCTTAACCACTGAGCCACCGGGACGCCATGGCACCCGGCCTGCCAGCGCCGGTACCCAATCTTCTCTAGATATACCTCCCCAAGCAATTGGTCGCCGAAAAATTTAAACATTTTACTGGTCCCGAACCCGGGACCTGCCGCTTCCCACAACGTGCTCTTAACCACTGAGCTACCGGAGGATCATGGTGCCCGCACTGCCAGCGCTGGTACTCAATCCTCTCCGGATAGACCCCGTCAAGAAGTCGGTTGCCTCTGCCGAAAAATATGCTCATGGCACTAGTCTCGAACCCGAGACCTGCCAGTCAGGAACGCAGCACTCTAACCACGGCGCTACCAGGTTGCTATGCACACCACTCAACTAGCGCCAAACTTCAATAGCCACCCATCTTGCTTGATGCTGGACAAATAATAACTTCGGCGATGGGGTGAGCGCCGTGCGTAGCAACTTAGTAGCGCAGTGGTTAGAGTGCTGCGTTCCTGACTGGCAGGTCTCGGGTTCGAGACTAGTGCCATGAGCATATTTTTCGGCAGAGGCAACCGACTTCTTGACGGGGTCTATCCGGAGAGGATTGAGTACCAGCGCTGGCAGTGCGGGCACCATGATCCTCCGGTAGCTCAGTGGTTAAGAGCACGTTGTGGGAAGCGGCAGGTCCCGGGTTCGGGACCAGTAAAATGTTTAAATTTTTCGGCGACCAATTGCTTGGGGAGGTATATCTAGAGAAGATTGGGTACCGGCGCTGGCAGGCCGGGTGCCATGGCGTCCCGGTGGCTCAGTGGTTAAGAGCATGTTGCGGGAAGCGGCAGGTCCCGGGTTCGGGACCGGTAGTACATACAATTTTTTCGGCAACCAATTGCTTTGCGAGGTATATCCAGAGAAGATTGAGTACCAGCGCAGGCAGGCCGGGTGCCATGGCGTCCCGGTGGCTCAGTGGTTAAGAGCATGTAGTGGGAAGCGGCAGGTCCCGGGTTCGAGACCGCTCAAGGTACAATTTTTTCGGGACCAGATTTCTCGAACGGTAGCTCAAGAGGAGTTGCGACATCGCCGCCGACAAGCTGGTTCGGTGGCTGAGCGGTCAGGGTAGAGGAGTTGACTAGACTCGGCACTCGGGGTCGCGGGTTCAAATACCCAATGTGACCCCTCTGAGGTAAGGCCTCTGAATCTGGACTCTCACTGTACCACAGAAACCGCGCGCACTTCGGGTGGGCCAGCCCAATACGAACCCACTAATCTGTCGAATTGCGCGGCAGGGAGCGTCGGATGAAGGCCCGGTTCCCATAAGAACACCGAAGCTGATCGGCGGGTCTCCTTGAGACTTTCGTATTGCCACTTTTTGCCGCCGATTTTTTCGTTTTTTTGTTGAATATTTTTATTTAATTTTTTTGTTAGGGAGGCGAACTATAGGTAGGCGAAAAAAGGCAATATTTTATTGAATATTTTTATTCAATATTTTTATTAGGTAGGCGAAATATAGGTAGGCGAAATAGACAGGTAGGCGAACATTTAGGTAGGAGAAATGAACAACTCCCATATATTCATAGTGTGAGACGATTAACTGAGCAATGAGAAGAGCGCACTGGTCCGCACTTTTGACTCCGTTTTTTTTTGCCAACGCCGCGTCCATTCTTCAGTTTTTCCCCTTAATGGTATCCCCCCACCAGGGCCGGGTATGTTTAAAAAAGATCGCTAGAGCACAACTACCTTAATTAACTTAACGACCTTAAACTAACCACCTTCCATTGGGCGCTGTTACTGCTCCGAATCATCCCGATTGCAGCAACTTGGCGAGAACTCAACTTTACTATTTTTTTGGCCTGTGGTTCGTAGTGGCTGGCTGGGCTCCGGTACGCCCGGCCAACCGGCTGCCCGCTACTCTCTGCTGCAGCAATAGTTGCCTACTCCGCAGGCGCGCGAGGCCTGTCTGCCGTGCACTTCACCCCGTTCCGTTTTGCGAGGCGCCTACGTGCCTACGTGGCGCCTACGGGATGGGAACCGGTGCCATCAGGTACGACGCCTCTGCACCAGACCCTCAAGTCGGTGGTCGGGGGTTCAACTCTCCAGACCGAGACGGAGTGGACGCAGTAGTGTGCTTCTAGTCCTTTTTTAATTACCGAGCTATTGAATAGGAACTCCTTCCTCGCTCTCCCGGTCTCTCAAGGTCCACCCTTATCAATGGGCTCTTCGTGGAGAGCTCTGCGCAGCTGCGCCACGCTGCTGCTGGCTGCTTCCGACAGCCGTCGCTCTGTCTCTCTCGCTCTCGTAGGGCGTCGCTTGTATAGGCGGGAGAGAGACAGAGTGACGAAAACGACTCTCGGAATCAGTCTGGTGCCGGGCCCTTTGCAAGGCGGGGTCGACGGCCTGGCTGCCTCTGTCGTGCATGACCGCCCCGCGCCACGCCGCCCCCGCCCCCGCCCCGCCCCTCCGGCCCTTGGTCCTCCGCGAGACGACGCCGGGCCCCGCCGAGCCCTGCCGAGCCCCGCCGGCCCTACGAAGGGCGCATCGGGAAAACAATCTGAGCGCGCAGACACCTGACTTTCTCCTTCTTCTAATCGGCTGCTGCAGCTCCCCTTCCAGTGGCGTGTCCTGGCCGGCCGTCCCTGCCACGGTCCCTGCCACCGGGCTGCTGCTTTCGCCCAAGTACGTGGGAAGCGGCAGCAAGCGGCAGCAAGCGGCAGCAAGCGGCCCTCGCGGCCACCGGCCAGCCGGCCGCTCCCATATGCCGGGCCCCGCGGCGTGAGAAGGCCCCAAGACCGCTTTCCTTGACTGGATGCGCTTTATTATCGTGACAGGAAAGTGTGTGTCTCGTCTCGTGTGGAGTGTGGACATGGCCATGGCAATTACACCGCCAGGCCGGCCAGTCCGGCCGGTCCGGTCCGGCCGCCGCTGCTTTCTCTCTTCACGCGTCAATCGGGCCAGTTTTTCGGCGAGGAACGTCGGGCAAAGAAAAACGGGTGCTTTTCTGTAACAATTCTCGATTTTTATTGAGAATATAACAACAAAAACAAAAAAACAATAAATTAGATGTCGCGTACATCGTCAACAACAACAACAGTCGAAATAAATAAATTAATTCGTTGAGAAGAGGCTGAGCTGAAAGACAAGCACGCGGGGGCGAGTGCCCCGCGCGGCTTGCGCTGAGTATTTCAAGGTACTGAGAGTGTCATCCATATCCGGAATGGCACGCATGACAAGTCAACACTACGTTACAAAAGTACGGTATCAGTCGGTCCCTCAGGGAGTTATCGTTAAGTCAGAGGAGAGTGGAAGAGAGAAGTGAGGGAGAAAGCAGTGTTGCGTAAGAGAGAGTGTTTGTCCACAGAGGACAGTTTGGGGCAATTTGCAGGTCCAACAGGCAGCCAGTCGTGCAGTGTGCGGTCAAGCAGGCGAGCGAGTCACAGGTGCGGGAGGGGTGGGGGAACGTAAAGTCACTTTCCATTTCAATCATGTACTTATCTCAGTTGGTTGTACACAGATGGTCACTTAGTCTTTGGCAAATAGTCATTGTAAAGTACAGGGTTTGCTGTCAGGGATTATATTTTTTTTTAGTAGGCTCCCTGCAGCATTTACGTCATAATGCAGTTGTACTATGTCCAGTGCTTAATTGTACTCCAGTCCGTCACTGCTAATCAGATTTGTTTCTCTACTAGCGTCAACTTTATGTACAGGTAAGCGTTCGTCCTCGTTAACATTTCTCTCCAGAAGTCACAAGATAGTCTTTTCACGTGGAAAATGGCAAAAAGTTTCACATTTTCAGATTTTGTCAGACAGGCACAAGGAGGATATTTAGTCAATAAATATCAGCTTATATACATTCACAAATAATTTAAAAAAATAAATTAAGGGGCATTTGGGGGATGGGGACGATGGGGGCAGTGGGGATCGAGTGAAGAAAATGTCCCTCGTCTACCCAAAATTTCGGGACGAGGTGAGACGAGGTTTTGGCCCGGACACTGGCAGGCCGTCCGCGGAGCCGTCCGGGCGCGAGGCCCGTGTCAGCTGCGCGCCGGCCGTCGTGTTGGAGGCCGCGCCCCTGCCGGCGACGCGCTCCAGCCCGGCTACCCTGCGATAGCCGCGCCGGGCTGCGTCGACGGTGGCCGCGCGCTGGGTCCCCGGCGGAGCGAGGCGCCCGCGGCGCGGCGGCGGGACGGAGGTGCTTGTAGACGGAGGACTCGCCTGCGGGACAAGGAGAGGACGACGTCAGTCGGGCTGTCAGCGCGACGGGTGCAGAGCGAACCACTCCCACGCCCGTGAACGCCATGCATCACGGCTGACACTCACCTTACTGCTGGGTGGCGGGGACCTGCGCCCTGAACGCCATCTGGTGGGCGTCCTCGGTGATGGACCTGCCCCAGCCGCCGCTGCTGCCGCCGTGGCCGCCGCTGGAGGAGCCGCCGTAGTCGCCGCCGCTGCTGCCGCCGAAGGAGGCGCCGGAGCCGGAGGACCAGGAGTCGTGGCCGCCGCCGCCACCACCGTGGCCGTGGCCGTGAGACACGATCTCGTAGGTGACGGTCTTCTGCTGCTGGGACAGCAGCTTCTTCAGGCCGATGATGGAGGCGAGCAGCAGGGCGATCTTACCGATGAGCAGGGCCTTGCCGGCGATGAGGGCGATGGCGCCGAGGGCGAGGGGGATCAGGGCGGCGGCCTTCAGCTTCATCATCAGCAGGAGGGGCAGCAGGATCTTGGCGGCCTTCTCTGTTGGCAGAAAGAAGAAAGGGGTTAGCGGGCGTCAGTTGGGTTGCCTAGCTGTCGGCGCCGGCGTGGCGGCGGAAGGGAGGCCTACGCGCCACGCGGCGGGCTGCGGCCCTGCGGCCCTTCGGACCGTGGCGAAGGAAGGGCGAAGGACGGCCGCAGAGGGCAGGAGTTAACGAGCGGATAAATAGGGAAACGAAGAGACACATTCCTTGTCACGGCGTTTGCGACCATCTCGGCGCTGGCAGGCTGCAATGCCCAACCACCCCCTTCCTGGACGTGCCGGGCTGGGCTCCACGTTGACCTAGGCCCCGAGGCGCCCCGAGGCCTCGCAGCTGCCCGGATGTCGGGACGGCCTCGCGCCGCGCGCACGTCCGGTCGTCCAACTTTTTATCCCCCCTCTCTCTCCCTCTCGCTCCATCTTCATTTCTTTTTCGGGATGATGACGCCGGTGCGTCCTGCCTTTCCTTTCCCCGGCGTGTTGGGCGCCGTGCTGCCAGCTCCGCCGGGCTGCCTCTCCGTCCGTTAAAACGCGGCGCTATTCGCGCTGTCATCGCCATAGATCTCGCAGCCACCAGATGATGACCGGCACTGATGCCGGTGCCCGCGTCAAGAGGCGCCGCCACTGCCGGCAGGTGGCGCGGGCGGCGGAGCTGATTGGGCGCCATCAAGCCGGCGGCGCGGTGACAGAGAACGCCCCGCCCCGCCCCGCCACGCCCTCAGCCGACGCGAAGACACTCGTCAGCCGGCTGGCGTGCTGCCGGCGTCATTATTTCAAATGTGCAAACGCGCCGCCGGTTCGTGAATCACCGGCGACGGCGCGGCGGCGCGGCGGGCACGGCCTCTTCGTGACCGCCATTTCGGCGCGCGGCCGCGCAGCCCGACCTGCCCGAGGGCCTGCTCGGCCTGCTGCCCGCGCGGCGTGAACTGCTGCAGGCAGACGCGACCCTGCCCGAGTCACGATCGAGTTGCGATCAAGATTCAGTCCATGATCACGCCACGCCCCGCCACGCCCCGCCACGCCGCGGAAGACAGAGCCGGCTACAGGACAGCCGTGCCTTCCGACAAAAGCAAGCAGTTCGCTTTCTACCGCTCTGCAGCCGAATCAAACCGCCGACGGGTTCCTTTGAGGGTCAGGAGGAGGTGGAGTGGTCCACGCGCGTCATCAGGTAGCCGGCTCCCCGACCCGGCCGACTGGCTGCCCGATCCGGATTAGTGCCCCGGCCCGTTAGGGCGGCGCTGCCGGCCGGCACCTTGACCATCACGATGTCCGCCGTGATGGCCAGTGAGTTATGACCGTGCCGTGCTGCGCCGCGCCGCACTGGGCCGTGCTGCGCCGCGCGCGCGTTGACTTTCTAGCGACACAGAGGCCGCACGCCGCACGCACTCGTGGACCAATCACAGCGCTGGCGGCACGCAGTGGCTACTGCAGCGAGCGTGCGTCCCACATGCTACGAGCCGCACGCATGCACGAGGGCGGTATGCACGATGGCATGCAGCTAGCTGTGTCTCCGCGGCCGCAGGGACAACATACAGAGCGGGCAGTGAGGCTGGCCGTCTCGTGAAAGGGGCCCAATAATGTAAACAAGCGGAGTGATCCAGGACTGGTTCCGGGATGTGGGTCACTGGTGCTGCCGGTGCGGCGGGGCCAATGCCAAGGATCTGACCAGTGGCCCAGCCGGTCCTGCGGCCAGGCCCCGGGCGGCCAGGCCCCGGGCGGCCCTGCTCCGCGTGCTCGGGCCTTGCGTGGGCCGTTCCCAGTCCGTTCGGACCGGCAGCCGCAGCCTCCAGCCGGCCAGGACCGGTTTCCTCTCATCTCTCACATTCCTGTCCTGTCCCGATGTCCGATTCACTTTCACCAGGACTTTCCTTTCCCCCCGGAGTCTTCCGTCTCCCTTTTCCGGCCGGCCAGGGCCCGGAGCCTGCAAGGCATAGCAAGGCACTGCAAGGGCGGCCGGCCAGGGCAATACACTCTGAAAAATGTTTGACCCGGATGACGGCGGCTTTCTTTGACCCACATCATGATCCACCTGCTGCCCCGAGTGCCCTGCCCTGCCCTGCAGCCGGGCAGTGCGTGGCGGTGCCGGTTTCACTCCGTACAAGGTGGCTGGCCTGGGCCTGGGCCTGGCGGTTTGAATTAACGCAACGGCATTTTCGGCCCGGCCCACCGCCTCCTCTCACACGGAGGCCGAGGAAGACGGCCTCACGGTAGTCCGCACAGCGCCTCGCCGTCTCTCTCGCACTCGTGTGGGGCGTCCCTCCAGGTTGCAAGAAAGAAAGAGGAGAGAGATGGAAAGGGTGAGAGAGAGACAGAGGCAGAGAGACAGAGAGACAGAGGCAGAGAGACAGAGAGGCGCAGAGAGACAGAGAGATACAACGCTAGGTAGGAGGCCGCACGGGCGCACGCGACGGCTGGAGGGCGGCACGGAGGCAGGGCGGCAGGGGTCCCGGGTTCGAATACTACGCTGCGGCACGCGAAAGAAAGGTGCGCAACCTTGCCCCTGACAGAGACCTTTCACCGCGCGGCGCAGGCCGGGCACGTGCGCGCTTAGCATGGCCGCGGAGATTGACTCGCACGCACACACACACACACGCGCGCACGCACACACGCTCACACACGTGCGGGATCCTTTTCGGGTCCGGAAACTGACATTCTGGCGTTCCTTGACACGCTCACACACACACACAGGGCTGAATCCACTTACACGCCGGCTATCGCGCATGCATATGTATAGCCTGGTGCTTATGAATGCCGACACGTGTAAGTGCGCACGTGTGTGTGCGTGTGTGTGTGTGCCACTTCGCGGCGGGCGGGCCCGAAGAATGGGGCGGAGGCCTGGTCCGGCAGGTGCACGGCGTGGGAGGACGCGAGCAAGAGAGCAGTGGAGCGGCAGCGCAGCAGGTGGGCGAGGAGGGCCGGACGCACGCCGCCCCCGCAGCGCAGCCCATGCAGCCGAGAGGCTCGGAAGAGTCGTCGCTCTGTCACAGTCGCACGCATGGAGCTCTCGGTGCGGGAGCGAGAGAGAAAGAGGACGCAGTGCACCGTCGCGGTGCTGGAATGCAGTGGCCGATGCGTCGGGGTGCACCGGTGGACCGGCGGCCAGATGTGGGCCACGGGGGTCGCGTCCTGCCAACGCCGCCGTGGCCAACCACGCCCCTGGCAGGGCCTGGCGCCCGGCTCCGCCTCTGCCGCCCGTCCCTTTCGCTCCACCTCTCTCCGTCTCTCTCGCACGCCCCGTCTCCCCTCGCTCCGTCCCTCTCGCACGCCCGGCGCGCGTGCTCTCTGTAATTACTTCCGGCGAGCCGAATAATCACAGCGGGCTGACCGCGGGCCGCGTGGCCTGCCGTTCGGCTGGGGTGGCCATTTGGACCAGCGGGCTGCAGTGAGCACCAGTGAGCACCAGCAGCGGGCCCCTGGGGTCAGCCATGCAGTGGTCAGCCACGGTGATGAAGAAGCGGACCAGACCGCAGCCGCCCCGCCCCACCCCGCCCCACCTCTCCCCGCCCCGCCCCACCCAGTGTCCCAGTGCAACGGGTTGTACGGCAGTGTCCCGCTCAGCCATGTGGGGCGAACGGTAATCATTGACAATGGTATTCGAAAAAACAACAGTACTTGCTCGGGAAGTTTGTTTTTGTTTTGAGAAATAGCTAGAGTTGAAACCCACGGTCAGCTTAATCCGTGACCACATAAGGCCAAAAACATCCAAGTATCAGCCAAATTTTCAACTTTTTTTTTTCAATTTAGACCGCGTTGACTCTATGCAGAAGCCCCATCACGCTGGCTAGACAAGGCGGCGCGGCGCGGCGGCTGCCCAAACGGAGCTTATGTTGTTGTGCCCGGCGGCGAGCAGAGCGGCGAGCGAGGAGGAGAAAGGGCCATTTGGCGACCACGATGACCAGTCAGCGAGGACACTACTTTCGGAACGCGCACGCGCGGAGAAACTCCCTCGGAGGATGCGCTGCCGGCGGTGCTGCTGGCGGTGCAGGCGCGTCGCGCAGAACGACAAGAAGCGCCGTGCGAACGCCACTCCGCTTCCCATGCAGGCCGCCGCTGCAGCACGCCGACCGACGCAGTCGCTCTGTCTCCCTCGCACCCTGGCGGGACGTCCCGCGAGTGCGAGAGGGACGGACAGAAGCGGAATCAGTCTGCAGGCCCACGCGCGTCTCGCGGTGCCCCTCATTAACCGAGTCCGTCCCCGCGAGAAAAAAAAACAACAACAAGAGCGCAAACAACGGGGAGTGACTGTGCTTCTCCGAGCGGACGACGCGCGAACGCGTTGCGACCACACTGTGAAGCCGTTCCGGAAGAGCGAGCAGTGCGGGGGAGCCAGACAGTGTACGCTCCCTGACCCAGACCCTGGTAACCCAGACCCTGGTAACCCAGACCCTGGTAACCCAGACCCTGGTAACCCACATGGGCTCTCATATTCACACGACGAAGGCGTGTGGGAACAGAGGGCCACGCCACGCCACGCCCCACTACGGGAAAGAAACGGTCGCCCATTCAAGAGCGCGCCTCTTGGCGGGAAAAAAACAGAGGCGTTGTTTCGGCCGAGTGATTAGTATTCCGAATGAGGGCCGCGCGCCTCGCGAGGTGCGCTTTTACGGGCCGGCAAAAAGAGGCCGTAAGGTGCGTGGCAGTGCAGGCGACTCTCGATCGTAAAATCGTAAAGCTAAACGCTAACGAATTCGGGCGCCTTCTCCTTTCCCTGACCTCTGGCCCCGCCGCTCCGCCGGCTCGACTTCCGGAGCGCAGACATGCATTCCAGGACTATCCCGCGGGATAGGGGGCCGGGGGAGAGGGGGGAGGGGGGCTGACTTTCGCCCGCTAACAGTGCCCCGGCTGTTGTTCTGCGTTCAACGAGTTGCATTCTAATCGAGCAGAAGGAAGGGGAAGGGTCCTACTTTTGCCCGCCGTTTCTCGGAAAGGTTATGAGCCGCACGGACATGCGCAGACGACGGCACGCAGCCTGTGTGTGTGAGTGTGTCACGCGGACTCACACACATGCTCACACGCGGGGCATGCGTGCAGAAGATGCAGTAGCGGGATAGCAAACCACACGGCAACATTGAAAACGGTCACATTTTTTTTTTCAAAGTACGCGCGCAGCCCCCCTGGGTAGACAAAACGTGCAGTGATCATTCCACCTGGAGAGCAGCTCGTGGGTGCGAAACCAGCGCGCACAGTTTGAATGCGGCCAATGGGGAAAACGGGATCGAAAAATTCAAGGACCGGAAGCTTCGAAGCGGAGAGCAAGTTCCATTAGCCAGTTGGACTGGGTGCGTCGCGCGGAGCCGGACCGATGACGCTCGGTGCGAATCACCCCCTCCGCGCCCAATCAAATGCCCCTTGTTGACACTAGGCTGCTCCTCCGTGAGCTGCAGCGGGAGGCACCGGAAAACGGTTTTCAAAGGGCACGGCGCTGTAAACATCGCCACTTGATTCCGCAACGAGATGGGGGCGGCGCGGCCGGCAAAAAGAGGGCCGGTTACTGATTCGGAGCGATTCGGCCCGGCGGGGATCAGGCTCGGCAGCGAGACGGGCCGCGGCGCTTTGTCGCCAATCCAGCCAATCCAGCCGGAAGCATCAACGCGCTGAATATGCATGGAGGGGTTCCGGTGCCCGAGTCCCGAGCCAGATTGAGCGGTTAAGCGGCGCCACGCGGCCACGCGGCCACGCTGCAGCGGGTGGGCGGCGACCGCAAACGCGTGCCGGCTTAGGCTAGGTTAGGTTAGGTCGGCGACGGTACTCACTCTTCTTGCCCCTGCTCTCCTCGCCGACGAGCCCGGTCTCTTCGGTCTCGGTCAGTCCCAGGGAGTCAGCCATGTCGCCGAGAGCGCGGCCGGCCGAGTTGACGGCGTTGAGGACGTCGCTGCCCTTGAGGTCGATCTTGACGGTGTGGGTGTCGAGGAAGCGCTTGATGCGCGACGCCAGCATCGACTCGACGTCCTGGGTCTCGGCGTCCTCAGGGGTGAGCGCGCGGGGTGCGCCATCACCGCCAGCGGCGGGCGCGGGCGCCTGCACCACCGTCACCCCTTCGGTCAGGGAGAAGCTGTCCTTGCCGCCGAGCACCTTGTCCACGAACGAGAACAACTTGTATTTAACACACGACACCGAGTTCTTCTGCAGACAGTCACTGTACAACGAGTCCACGAGGTCGTCCCCGGACTGGATGGCGTTCCGGCTGACCTGGGGCGCGGCGGTGGCGACGGCCGCTAGGGCAGCCAGGACGGCGAAGACCCTCATCATCGACGTGGTCATGGCGGAGGGCTGCTTCTGCTGAGCGGACTGACGAACTGACTCACTGACTGTGGTCCCGCTGCCGGCCGCCCTCCGTTCTTATACGGCAGCCCCGCCCGGCCCGCCGCCCGGCCCGCCGCGCCCCCTCCAGGCCGCCGCCGTGGTCCCGCCGCGGTCCCGCCGGACGGCGGCGAGGGCTCCGGTCCGCCGCGCCAGTCCGCGCAGCCTCCGCCGGCGCCGACACAGGTAAGGGGGGCTGGGGGCGGGGGGCTGCAGAATGGAACATGCAGGCGACATTCTTCGATCGGGGACCGTTCGCTTTCAATACCCGGTAGGCACTCGGGGGTGCACTCCATCCTGACCGAAACAAGACTCGCCAGAAAATTTAAAACCACCCGTGTTGTCGACTAAAGTTATATTGGTGGAGGTGTGGGGAGAAATTTGTGGCAGCACGGCGCAGGCATTGCGTAACAACATCCCTTCTTCTCTCCCGGCATCCTGGCCACCACCCGGCTACGGCCACGGCGGCGGCGCGGGTGCAGTGACCCCGAGTCTCCCCGAGCAAGTCCGCCTCACGGCCACCACGCCCCACGGTCAGGGGCAGCGCCCGGCGCGCCCGGCGCCTGACATTGGCACTGGCTTGGCGGCTTGGCGGCTTGGAGGCCTCCGCGGTGCTCCGGCAGCGGGACTGGGCGCCGAGTCTGGCGCTACCAGAGTGCAGGCTGCAGTGCAAACACACATATCGGCAGCATTATTCGCCGCTGCGTTGCTTCGGCTTCAAAATTTGTGAAACTGTTGCGACCTGGAACACGCGCCGTGACCCGCCCATTTTCGCCGCGCGAGTTTACCACCCATTTCCCGGCGGACGACGACGGCCTTATTATGAAAAAGTTTACATCTTCATACTCCTGGTGGACGAGGCGCGCTAAAAATCTTTATGTGGGAACGAGAGGAGGAGGCAGACAATATGACACGAAAACGGATCCCCACTCCCTGTTCGCCCCTGCTGCAGGGCCCTGCCGCCTATCCCAGGCTTAAACACCCAGGCCGCTGCGGGTGCCCGGGAGGGCCCACCAACGGGGGGCCCCCTCCCCAGTCCGAACTGCCCAGAAGGGCCGCTAACCCCCGGCCCGGCGCACTATGGTCACCAGGGCAGCCCGCCTGGGAGGTAGGCAACGCTAACGCAGCGCAGCGTTGCAGCACAGCGGCTGCCTACCCGCCAGGCGCTAGGCGCACACATGCTCTCCGCTTCAGTAAAGTGCACACATGTGCCCGCTCTTGGAGTGCAGTCCTCACAGTAGTGGTCCTCTCTGTCACTCCATCGACATGACCCGGACAACGTCGTCCACGTGACTGCACTGCGCACCGCGTACCGCTTGTCTGTGATTAGCGCTGTCTCCCTCGCTCAATCCATCATCATCGCCCCTCTGCCCGCGCTGCGGCGCCGCTGAACTTTCGTCCGCGATGAGCGAAGTTGGCGCACGGGAAGCAGTGGACCTTTTGTCCCCAGGGGGTGAGAGGCTGATTCCGAGCGATGCAGAGTCGCTGTCTTTCTTGCACTCACTGAGTGGCCCGCGGGGCTGCGAGAGAGACAGCGAGAGAACGCTGTCTGGAATCACTCTGCCCGGCCCTGCCGCTGGGACGGCGGCAGAGCAATCGGCGTAAAAGGCTAAGCAGGCGATGCGAGCCGTTTAAGCAGCGCGAACCAGGAGGGCAAAAAATTGGAGGGAAGGGCCTCACGCCCGGCAAAGGGCATGCGAAGGAAAGTACTTCCCCGTCGGGGGAGTAGGATCCCTCGCCTTGGATTGGACGCAGTTGCTATCAAAAGTCAGCCAAAATCCTGGACATGAGGAAATTTTTGGCTACACACGCTCTTGCCAGTACCGCTGCACGACGCCCGGCGGGGGAAGCATCTTTTCACTCCACTTTTAGGCGGGTACCTGGTGTAACTGGCGTACGGGCTGCGCCGCGCGCCATCGTAACTCCGGCTGAAAGCTGCTACTCACGCCGTCGATGCACACGCAAGCATTTATTTGCTCAGTGGCTTAACGTGTGTGCTGCAGCCGCGCTGCAAAAAAAAGGTGTGTGGTTCGGAGCGCGGCCCTGGAAGAGGGCGCAGGGTGCGCATGGTTCCCAGGAGACTCAAACCAGTCAGATTTTTTCCTTATCCAGTTAGGCCTGTGAGTCGTGGAAAGGGTGACGCGAAGTGCAGGTGCGGTCCTTTATTCGTCAGTAGTCTTGTTTTTCGGCGATCGCTTTGGAGGGTAGAAAGCCGGTTCGGGTTGCTGAACCCCAAGCAGCCGCCGGAACGACGGGGTGGCCGCCCCAGACCGCCCCTCGAGGGAGGGGGCCCCGCGCGGGGCGAAGCGCGCGACAGCAGAGGTTGCCGGGGCCCGCGCCACGGATTCCACTGAGACTTAAGGGAGGCTTTTGTCTCTTCAGTTTAGTTCTGCCTCAATCCCTTACCGAAAGTTTTGCAAAGGTTAGCGCCCCCTTTCTGCCACGCTAGGCAAATGCACACACCAACACACACACACACTCATCAAAACGCATACCAACACACGTCGTATATATACACATTCTAAGAGGATGAGAAAGAAAGAAGCCGTCTCCCTCGCTCGCTCACACACACACAGACATGCACACACGCCACGCCTGTCTCATTTGCATGCAGTGGGGATGCGCCCCCCGCCCCTCTCCCCTTCCTGGAGGCGCCCAGGCCGGCCTGCGGGGCCTGCCTCACTTTGGGGTCACTCGGTGCTTTCCCACATTCAGGACAATGATGCGATGAGCCACAATCACGTGGTCCACATTGCACGCACTCACTCACACGCACGCTCCAACACACACACACAGGCTAACACACACACACTTACACACAGACAGACCGTCTTCCTGCCGTGGCCAAGTTTATGGGGAATCGAACGGGACCGCGCGAGAATTTATCGAACTACCGTAGTTGCACTTCAGGCGCTGCTATGCGACGTCTGCCGGCGGTAGACTCGGCGCGCGCGGTACCTCGGGTGCCTGGGCGCGCGCTGCCGAGAAGTAGGGCTTTTATTTTTTTAGCGCAGCGAGAAGAGATACGTGGGAAGAAACTGGTAGAGTTCGAGGCCCTTCGGGTCAGCAAAATACCAAGAACATTGAGCTTTTCGTTTTCTGTAACAAACTGCCGCTCGTTTGGTCCGTTTTCTGACGCTTCAGTGGTGGCATCATGGCACTCCCTCTTGACCGCCGCCACTCACGCACACACACACTCGCGTGAGCGCACACACTGGCGTGGCGTGGCCATGGCGCGGCCACACCCGTGCGAAACCAGATTGAAAGCGGTTGGCCGCTTGGCCCGCGAGAATCCGGCGGGATGGCTGTGCGAGTCAAGGCGCATTTCGAGCGTCCCAGCCACCACTTTCCACCCGGGAGCCGCTTGGCGCGCTTGGCTGTGGACCCACCCGTGACCCACCCACTTCACGGCACACCGGCACGCCACTCCCCGCCGGGCCACACCCAGCTTTACGCTTTTTTATCTGTTTTTGCTCGAACGCCACCAACTGGCTCCAATGCAACTCGCTCTGCATATTATTCTTATTCAATTTCACACGGCCCAAAGTTCCTCTCCCGCCAAACTTTCTACCATCCAGTGCTCCAGATGCCTTGACGCAGCGGCCTTAACACCAACGGGAGCGCCTTTACAGCACGCCCAGCTACACTGCCGCCAAAACATAATAGAGAAACATTTTTTAAACGTCGCCGCGTGCCGCGCGCGCCGTGCGGATGGCTTGACGCGGCTCCCACAGTGTGTCCGCGCTTCCCCCACCCCCACCCCCTCGGAGCGTCTGAGCGAGAGCGAAAGTGACGCGAAACATTCGGAGCCGTCGGCAGGAAAAGGACACTAGCTGAATACGGCTTCCTTAACAGCTCGATTCGGACGTACCGTGGGCAACGCTTACGGACCCCTTTGTCTTCGGCAGGCACCTCGCACTGCAGCGCCGCACCGCGCCTTGACCTTTGGAACGCTTCGCAGCGCTTCGAGGCAGGGCCCTCTGTTTGACTGGCTGCCTGCGCTGTGCGCAGTGTGCAGCCCGCACCACTCAGACGCGTGTCAGAATGTGTACGCGAGGCAGCTTATCTTGACCGCCGGAAAGGTTAAAGGGTCCGGTAGAAAGCGATAGGTCCGAACTTCGCCGCGGCTGCTGCTGGGAGAGGTGCGGCTGCAGGATCATCTCGGAAAAAGACTGCGAAAAGGCGCAGTACGTTCGTCGTAGTAAGAACGGTCCATTGTTACCCGCCGCCATCGTGATCCCCCATTGTCACCTCACTGACTTTCAGCTGCACTGTAATCTTAGCCTTTTTCTAACCAAAGGGCAATAGACTTGGGGACGGTGGGGCTGAAGTTAAAGTTTACATTTTGGGCCGGCGGTGGGTCCCCCGTGTGGAGTGTACATGGTGGTGGTCTACACTGCGGCGTTGCCGCCGTCCACTAGCCACAGTGCTCCCTTCGCACCCAGGCGTTATAGCGGCTGTCTCCAAACTCTTGACGCGTGGGTGTTAAAATCACCTTTCTTTTTCACTCACTGTGACGCAACGTTACTGAGTATTCGCTTTCAAAAGAAAAATCCACACGCACTTTATTCGACATTTTTTGGACATTTCTACTTCTTTTTTGACGTGCCTCAACACTCTGTGGGTCGCGGCCTCCTTGCGAGGATCCCTTTTCGTACACATTACTGTCGAACACGCCCAGCGGAAGGGCGCGGGGCGTGGCGGGGCGTGGCGGGGCGTGGCGGGGCGTGGCGGGGCGCCGCGGGGTGGCAAGCTCTGCTCTATTGTTCCGCGCCAATTGTTTGGAAGATATGACCCAGCATCAGTCAAAACTCCGCGCCTCGCCGCGCCTCGCCTCTCCCACGACAAGGTGCGAGCGTCGGCGCGCGGCCCGGAAGGAAGGCGAGCAGTTTGCAAGGAGAGCCTCGCCACCGAAACCGGCAGCGGACCCACAATTAGCCCGGCCTGCGCCCAGCAAGTATGTTTTGTTTAAACGCCTTTTGTCCGCGGCCGCGCTCAA